GTTTTATTAGATGCTGTCCAGGAGGACTAAAGTATTCAGCCACAATAGCTGCAGGTGAAATGTGTCTGATGCTTTAGATCATGTTTATGTCTGAGTGTGGCTGACATAAGCGTTTTCGCTTCTTCGTTTGGTGTCTTTTTATCTGCAGCACAAACCAATTGCAAGCTGTGGGTTATTGATCGCAGCACCTACCAGACTGAACTTACACGATGTGGTCTCGATCGCTTTTCTCAGTCAAAGGATCTGCTGAGAAGGTTGAAATGAAAAAAATGATCTATTTTTTTTGTTCTAGATCTTAAACTGGCTCATAAGTATGTGCTCTGCAAAAACTGCTAGCATTCTCTTGTGTGTGTGGGTGTGTGTGTGTGTGTGTGTGTGTGTGTGTGTGTGTGTGTGTGTGTGTGTGTGTGTGTGTGTGCAGCCTTCCCTTCCTGCAGTCATTGCCAGAGGATGTCATCATGAGGATGTCTGATCACATGAAAGAGGTACAAATGAACTTCTTCCTTTGATTGTGAGCAACCAGGCCCTCTTCACACACCACACGGTCCACCTGTACTTTCAAATTTCAGCTTCTTTTCTGTTGTTATTCACAAGCAGATGCAACAATTACTCTAAGGCAATCATTTTCTTTTTTCGGTTTCTTCGACTGACTTTCGCTTTTCATTTATAGACTAATTACACAGACGGTGACTTCATCGTTCGACAAGGAGCCACAGGAGACACCTTTTATATCATCAGCAAAGGCCAGGTAAAGTTGATGAGATGAGATTTTCAGAGAAGCAGGTTCATATTGTGGAAGCCAAATGTCAGCACAGCTAAAGAATCATTTTATGGTGGTGATAATGGACTGGAGCCCCCATCTGCAGTGTTCTTCACTCTGTTCTCCGTTTCATTGTCTGTCTTTTGGATTTGGTAGGTGAGTGTGTCGGAGAAGAAGCCAGGACAGCAGGAGGAGACGCTTCTGACTGAGCTCTGTGAAAAGCAGTGGTTTGGAGAAAAATCCCTGTGGGGGTAGGAAGAAATTCTAGTGATACTTTTCAAGATGCATAAAAACTAAAATTTATTTAAAAATGCATTTTATTAGGGATGTTAGTTATTGTCTTCTTTACTGATATCCGATGTAACGATAAAGTATAACTCATTATTTTTGATACCGATATAAACCAGTATTCGTATGTGCCCCCCCCCCCCCCCCCCCCCCCATCACTTTAGGTAACTAACATTTATCTCCTATCAAAGGTTTCATATAATTTAAAACACACATTTACCTTGTTGTTGTTGAATGTAGGCAGTTTGGGGTGTCTAACTTAGCAAACCTGAGTCTTTCCCATCTCCAACCTGCTTTCCTTTGTAAATTATTAATGCTGTAATGGTCACTGTTCATTCAGAGAAAAGCTGGTTTAACACGTCATCAGCAGACACATCTGCACATCACCTACTTCAACATCGGCAATAAATAAACGCTGGTCACCATAATGCTAACAGCAGAAAACGCTATTCCAAGCGACTGCTAACACTAATGCTCACCCAAGCTACAGCGAATGCTAGTCTGAGCTACTGCTAATACTAGCCTGAGCTACAGCTAATGCTAATCTGAGCTACTGCAAATGCTAGTCTGAGCTACTGCTAAAACTAGCCCAAACTACTGCAAACGCAAGCCTGAGCTACTGCTAACACTAGCCCAAACTGCTGCTAACTATAAAAACTGCTTGCCCAAGCTACAGCAAATGCTAGTCTGAGCTACTGCTAATGCTAGCCTGAGCTACTGCTAATACTAGCCCGAGCTACAGCTAATGCTAATCTGAGCTACTGCTAATGCTAGTCGGAGCTACTGCTAACACTAATCTACCGCTAATGCTAGACTGAGATACTGGCAACATCCTTATTGGACAAGAGAGAAAAAAAAACAAAGAAGAATGTTGGAACACCACTGATTTTCCAGGAAGTACTGATTTTCAGACTATGACGGATGTCAAATATAGATTCATAGCTTTCGGTCCTTGTCACTTCGTCCCTTGCTTGTCCACATTGTCTACACTAATGCACCAACAGTTTCATGCTGCACAGAAGCTCAAAGAACAGTTTTCAATAGTAAAAAAACATCTTTCTAGGACACCTTTAAACATCATCTGTGCAAAATATGACAACTACTTAATTTTAGGTTCAGCCAGTTGTTCCAAACAAACAAACAAACAAACAAACATATCTCAAAAACTTTGTTTGATCTGTCATAGTTTGACATTTTGATTGAGAGGAGAAGTAGCTGAAGAGATTGATGTATAAAATAAAGTTTAACCCTCCAATCCAACCCCTTAAAGCTGAGTGTCAAGCAGGGAGGAATTCTGTCCCGTTTTTAAGGTCTTTGGTGTGACCCGATCGGATTTGAACCCCGATCTCCCAGTCCCAGGGCGGACACTAGGCCACTGAGAAGGTCAAAATGAGTGTATGTGAAAGTTGTGTTATTTAAAGAGTAAAAACCGTTATCAATTATGTCTGTTATTACATTTTAATGCCAGTATCGGATGATAATATCGGACATTCCTAATTTTAATCATTTATTTATTTTTCCATCAGAGAAGAAATTCACACTGTGAGTGTGGTGGCTGTAGGAGAGGTGACATGCTTACTGATAGACAGAGAGTAAGTACTGGCAGATGTTCTCCTATTTGGTCACACCATAAATCTAGAGAATCCTCACTAAGTTTGTTTTTCAGGACCTTCAGAAACATTATTGATGAGTCGGTGTCTGACAGCAGCCAGGGCAGCGAACCCAAGGCAGAGTAAGGATTTCATCAGTGTCTAATTTTGCATCTTTGGAAAACCCAGAAACACCAGCTCATCCTTCTCCTCACTCCCCGTCAGGCCAATGGAACACCCTTCCATCTTGGAATCCTGCACCTTAAGTGATTTCCAGATTGTTTGTACTCTGGGAGTTGGGGAGTTTGGTCACGTAGACTTGGTAAGGGTTGATCTTAAAGTAATCTCACAGGTTCCCTCTGCTGCCTCGTTGAGATTCCCTGTTCCTACGTGGTAAAGTATTGATTCTCTTCCTGCTGTCAGGTGCAACTAAAGAGCAACATCAAGCATTTTTTTGCCATGAGAGTCTTGAGGAAGAAGCAGATCCTTAGCAGAGGTCAGGGCGAGCGTGTCCTGAAAGAACGCAGCATCCTAATGGAGGCCCATTGTCCTTTCATCGTTAGGTGATTCAGCAAGGTTTTAATTCTTCCCGTCTCAGCGACACGATCCAAAAACATCTAACACGTTTCCATATTTATAATGATGACAGGTTGTATAAAACCTTCAGGGATGCTGAGCAGCTGTTCTTTTTAACAGAAGCGTGTCTCGGTGGGGATTTGTCTCATCTGATGAAAGACAGGTGAGTTCCTTTGAACAAGAGAGAGTTTCGTCTCTTGGATTTTTGTATTTCAGCATTCATTTTTTACATAAAACACTTTAGTCAGTGTTTTACCTTGCTTTACAAACAAACCCAGTTTGATTGATTTATCCTGAATCCTCACTTCTTTGCGACGTCTCAGAGGACATTTGGACGACTGCAGCACCAGGTTTTACACAGCTTGTGTTGTTGAAGCGCTGACCTTTCTCCACCAACGACGAGTCGCCTACAGAGACATCAGACCTGGAAACGTTGTTCTGGATGAGCGTGGTTATGCTAAGCTGGTAACCATGATCATTTTCAAGCACTTCATCTCATTTGACAAAAGCTAACGCTGATTGTACGAACGCGTGCTGTTTGCAGATCGGCTCCAGATGTATGAAGAAGGTTGAGATGGGTAAGAAAACCTGGACGTTCTGTGGTTCTCCGGGCCACGTGGCACCAGAAGTCATCTTGAACAAAGGCCACGGTGTATGTGCAGATCTCTGGTCACTAGGTGTTTTTGTGTATGAGCTTCTGAGTGGTGGGTAAGCTCAGCACGTTCGATAAACTGTTGTTTTTTAAACTTGTTTGGATTGAGGGTTCCTGATTGTGTTGGGTTTTCCTCTCCAGCCTCCCATTCAATGGCTCTGACCCATTAAAGATCCTCACCGCCACACTTCATGGCATCGATCAGATCAAGTTCCCGAAGATCATCAGCAATGACGCCTCTGATTTAGTAAAGAGGCTGTGCCGGTATAAATACATCTATATTGCGTGTGTGTTTATTCCACCTCTGAGGGAAGAAAGCCTCGTTGTTGTTTCCTAAATCCAGTTTAATGGTGTTTTATTTGCTCCTTTGTCCCACAGGAGCAATCCCACAGAGAGACTGGGAGGCCAAAAAAATGGGGTCAAGGATGTTCAGAGTCACAAGTAAAGCTGTGGATGTATTAATCTAAAATGTTCTGCCTTGTCCTTGGAGACGCGGCCTACAGGATTTGGTTCTGTGTTTTTGTTCAGGTGGTTTGAAGGATTCAGCTGGGATGGACTTCGTAAAGGAACACTGACACCCCCAGTTATTCCCAGAGTGAGACACATTCAGTTTGGATTATGGGTTTTATTTTATAACAGCTGATTTAAATTTTCTGCCTTTTTTTTTTTTTTTTTGTCTTTCAGGTTCCACATTGTCTGGAAAACAGCACATGTGCTTCTTATACCGAGTCATCAGCGGAGCAGATCACAAACTTGGAGGATTTCTGAGGAATTTCTAATGAAATCATATTTGGATTCAGTATTAATCCTCCGATGATTGTTTAGTACTCTGTATGATACATTTTCACAGTTTTCACTGGCAGGATCTGCACAAACTGAGCTCAAACTGTTTTTTTTAATGTAAAAAATATACATAAATTAGAGTACTGCCACTGAAGCAGTTCAGTGTAAGGCAATAAACACACAAACTTGTGTCACACTTGGCTTCTTTCGCTCTTAAATCTCAGTTCTCGCAGTAAAAGTTGAGTTTTGGGGGGCAGAGCCCCCCATGACATGAGTACTTGAGGAGTGACATCAGCATCCTACCAGAAAAACTCCAGGAGAAAGAGGGAAAAAAACACAGGAAGTGGTTGATCTTTAATTTCAAAATAAAGTAATTTAAAGCAAAAAATAGAACTAAAATGTAAATGTTCTTGTTTTGAAGTAACAATTTTCACCAAATTTTATATTTTAATCAATTAATAATATACAGTTTTCTAACTTATAAAATACTCTGGTAAAATGTTTAATTACTTTTATTCTATTGCCTCAAAACCTGACATTTTACTTTAATATTTATCAGCCAACATAGATCAATGTTTTAATTAATTTTAATAAAATAGCAACTCGACAAACAAAGCTTTATTTTGAAGGTCTAACCGGAAGTGAGTGGATACTATGTTTAACTTGATGTGTAAAATTCCTGTGGAGCTCCTGCAAAACCCTCAAATCTAGAAGCGCAACTTAGATGAACTTCGATATCTGCGTTTTCTCAGGTTAGTTTTGTTTGTTTGTTTTCACTTGTTTACTCGTTTGTTTGATTTTATTTAGATTAATGGTCTTAATGTCGATGCTCAGGAATAATGAAAGCTTTTGGAGCCACTTCCCGGGTTTCCAGCCTTCCTAACAAGAGTGTGTTGGAGCTTTTTACAACTCAGAGGGGATGAATGAACCAGTAAACTCACTTCTGTTGTGGTTTAATTCTTTCATTTAGTGAAAAGATTAAGAAAATTATTTTAAATTCTTCTGTAGGATAAATAATATATTTAGCTTTGTACTGCAGGAAAAAAAACTCAACAAAAACACAGAAGATAATTTTTAAGGAAGCTTTTGTTTTTGTAGGAAACCAAAAAGTGACACAAAACAATTAAATTTAACAAACATTCCCCAAATATGACAGAAAGTATATTTACAGGGTTTCGATTAAAATATACAGAAAAGAAAATGTGTAACAGAAAGAAAAAAAATCTGCATATTTTATAATTATTTTCTACTTTCCATTTCAGGTATATTTGAGTTGTGATTATTTGGTTTTTGAGGAGCAAATTACAGAATTATTCTCATGTTCCTGTTTATGTTAAAACAATATAGAACATCATGTTCCACAGACAGTTTTTTAGTCATTAATGCAACCACAGATTGTGTCATTATGTTTTGAGTCAACTCAGAAGCTTTAGTGCATTATTTCTGCAAAAGGATCCTCAGCAAATTATCTTTTTTTTTTTTAACTGACAGGCCCTTCCTCTGGAGGATTCTTAAAGAAAACAATAATGTGTTGGTTCTAGTAGACATGCTGGAAGATGGAAGGTATACAAACAATCACTCTCTTTTCAGGAAAGTTCTTATTGTTGCATTTATGCATAATTCCTGCTTCAGCTCACAGAAAACCCTTCTAACAGCTTTCCGGAATAGTCTAGCATCATTTTTTCCCCCCATTTGTTCATTAAATGTCAGCTCTCATAATCTAAATCTAGTCAGTGCTGCAGTAGTTCCAGATTTTTCTGCTGCAAGCAAAATTTTCATTTTTTCACAGAAACACTCTATTGTGCGTTTAAACTTTGTGGAAACGAGAAGCAGAAAACAAGATCAATATAATTTCTGAAACAAAGGAATATTTTAGCTGTTGTTATTTTATCCTTTCATTTTTCGCTCAGTTCTGCTTGGTTATGAACTCTGTTTTGTTCCCTTGCGACAGTTTAGACTCCCTAGATTGTAGCTGTGAATGTTGGACTAAAAGTTTCCTTTTTAAACATATTTTAATGCATCTTATTCCCATGAGACAGTCGGCTTTCTCATAATAAAAATAACTTCATCTAGTCTGAACTAGGATCAGATTTAAGGAATGTGAGTCAGGATTTCTGCTTTTGCCTTTGAGCAATTTCAGGTGGGGTCAAAAAGTGTTATTATTATTATTTTTATGTGTTTGTTATTATTTGTTGAAATTTCTTCCTTTATTCTGATCAATCCTGAAACATGTGACACTGGAGCTGCTCACAGAGAGCTGGGTTTGTGTTTGTTGGACAGTTTTCGTGTTAAATCCTGTTCGTCATTAAGCAAAGCAGAACAGATTTAAATCTTTATTATTTTTATTATCATGTTTGAATCTGTGCTGCGTAGTCACCTGCAGATGCTCGGGGAGGAAAAAGGCAGCACACAGGTTGCATTGTTGGTGGGAGTCCTGCTTGGGAGAATTTGAGACCTAGACTGTTCAGCATAAAATAAAAGATTTCTGTGCAGAAGAGTGTTTTCCTTATTCATTATGTACATTTCCCCCTGCACAAAGAAAATAAGACTTGTTACAATCTGTGATTTTTCCTCCTGACCACAAAACACTTTAGTTCCACAAGCGTGCAGAGTCCAGTACTTCTGGTCTGCTGGTGTCCTAATAAAGTGCAGAAGCTTCTCTCTCTCTCTTCCCTCCATTCAAAAGCCTCGTCCTGCTTGGTGTCACCTCCTGTAGTTTTCTGGGTCATTCCCCAGCATAGCTCCCATCCTCACAGTAGCTAATGCTCACAGCTGTTTCTCACACTCCAAGACATTTAGTGCTGTTATTCACTGGAAATGTGCATTCAAGGGAAGGAATGCCCCTTAAGTTTGTCTTTACTCTAGTAAAAGAGAATCTGTATTTGTTCACATCTTTCCTGCCTGTAAAACAGGAGATCTGTTGCAGCCTGTAGCCTTCAGTGCGTTTTCACACTCTGGTGCTGGGATGAGAATTTACAGCTGGCAGTTTTAAGAGTGAGATGGAAACCTGATTCCCATTCCCCACTTTTAGAAGGCTGCACTGGCTTTTTTTATGTAGTTTCACCTGACTGTGGTGAAAATGTTGCCAAATGCATTCCTGAGTCCTGACATCTGTCATCTGGTTGTAGTTAACACACAAAAACACATGAAAATCAGATCAGGAAGTTTTATTTGAATCTGGGAGGGAACAAGAACATTTGATGCTGCATTAATTACATTTATTGTAATAATAATATGAGTTGAATGTGTTTTACTTACAAGCTGCCTGAAGTCCTTGTAGCCTTTTAAATGGTTTTAATTGTTCTTTGGGCTTTCTAAAGATCCTTGAAAGTTTTTGCAACTTTTTGCATGTTTCTTGTAGTTATTTCATGTGTAGTTTGTGTTTAAAAACAAGGTAATTGACTAACAAAAGCAGAATTATCTGTTTTAAAACAAAAACCTATCTACGTTAGATGTAATCTACACATATCTCTTATATGTATCTATTTTTAGTGAGGATTTACATGCAAACATTTGCTGCATTTCTTTTGTGTGGCGCAATTCAAACTTGTTTATTTAGCATCCAGGAAACCACAGAGAACATCTCAGCTGGTAGAAGCTAATGTTAGCATTAGCAACTCCACCACACAGCAGAAGCTCCTCCAGGCATGTGTTATTTGTTTAATGTTGCAAAGCAAAGGGGCTCAGTGGTCTAGTTATGGTGCTGTTAGCCTATGAGGAGTGAGATTTCTGAAAATCAGGAAATAAGTCTCTAAATCCTGCCATTTGAAGCTAGTTTCTCCTCAGGCTGACTTCTACGTCCTCAAACAGGTGCACCGGAGCTTTTTTCCCACAGAGAATGACTTACATGGCATTCGTTCCTACTAAAGACCACACGTATTTAAAATATGAGTAAAGCTGACCTTAAAAAATTGCATTTATTGTCTGGCTTTTAGTATCACATCATATCGTATCGTCTTTATTGTAATACGTATCACATCGCCAGATTCTTGCCCATATACACACACACTCGCTGGCATTATGTATCATTTCTGACTGTTGACTTTCAGACGTTCAGATTGGTGAAATGCCTGATGCTTTTTTAGAACCTGTTTTTGGTTTCTGTGTCTAACTCCTGTGTTTGTCTCAGCTTGTTAACATGTGCACAGACATGCTGATCGCCACAGGCTGGCTGCTGCATACCTGCTGTCACCCTGTGAACCAGAACTCTGCAGTTTTAGAGCTGTGTGTGTGTGTGTGTGTGTGTGTGTGTGTGTGTGTGTGTGTGTGTGTGTGTGTGTGTGTGTGTGTAAAAGAGAGAGCTCTATGCCAGCTTTACAGCTATTTACATCAAAATCATGGATTAATCTATTGTTTCCAACAAAATTCAGGTTTGATCCTCTGAAAAGTTTTGGTTTTTCCCCTCAGCAAAAACCCACACAGACTGAAGGATCATTTGTTTCCTTCTCTGTGTTTGTTGTTTCTTTTGGGGAAATGAAAAGCTGGGCGCACAGTGGTCCTTGTCTGGGCTTCGACAATGATCACGATGAAAGAGAGTGAGAGATGAGGGAGGGTGGGTGGGAGTCGGAGGGGGGAGACAGGAGAAGGTTTGCTGGAAGCTTTCTTCACTAGACTGTCATTTTTTTCCAATGCCAGGTCTCATAAAGCCTTTTGTTTTCCATTTATTCACCGAGTGAACGCCTCAGGGATCACCAGCTGCTTTGCTGCTTCAGCAGGTGTAAAGTGGAAACTAAACAGCTTTAGCTCTCAGAAAATTGCTGCTTTAAGAAGATTATAAATCCTCTGAGGAGAAATGTGACCTTGTCACACAGGGAAAGGATTCCCTCCTGGATAAAGACAAGGGGGACAGGACTGATGTCACTTGTTTGACCTTTCTTTCTTCAGCTGGAGAGAAAGTAGGTCAAAGTTCAAAGGGGTAGTAGGAGGCGGTGGAACGGAGTGATTTATGAGTCGGATTGATTCTTTTTGACAAGGATGAAATGAGGTGTTTCAGTCAATTTCTCTACAGAACAGATACATCTCCTCTCATTAAATTCAGTAAAGTCTGGATGGTTCCTCCCCCATCACCCCATCCCACACCCTCTTCCGTCACCCCAAATCCTTGTCCCTCCCTTTTGGATGAAACTGTTGCAGAACTTGACTGAGAGTAACCTCGGCGCATGCTTCCGTTAAGCCAATCATTACTTCCTGATGTCTCTCCACCGCCCCTCCCCTTATCAGCCAGGCTCTTTTCTTCTCCTTTTTTTTGAGCACTGCCAAGTTTCACTAGACTGCTCCGGTTGGACTCCACATGTGCAGAAGCGGAAATGTTGCATAAATGAGGAGAAGTAGCTGCTGAGAGCACTTAGTAAAGGCTGACAAAAGCAATGTTGATTGAGTTGGTTGAATCAGCAATGCCACAAGTTGTAAATAGTTTTATGGTTGATACCAAATACGTTTCATGACGTTCTTTTCATAAAATCCCTGTTAAACAGTTTTATTCTTGACATTTTCAGTACCTTCCAGAATGAGCCGTTTTCAGAGCTCTGTCACTAAGCTGGAGCAGGCCACACACACCCACACCCCGCTCGAGCTGCTATAGGCTGAGAAGCTCTGATGTTGGTAGGGGTTCAGAGCAGAGCTGCTGCTCATTCAGCATCTCTCTCTTGCATGTGAGAGGTGGTTCAATTCTAATTTCCCAGTGTAGCATCATGAAGGAACTGTTTTCTGACCTAAAGGTCCCCTCTCCTCAGGAAGAACTAATCTTTTTCTGATATGCTCAAGGCCTTTTGATGCCTCTGCATCTAAACTGTTTTAACTAGCTATTTGCCTCCCCCTACAGCTCAAGAGAAGAAAGAAGACCAAAAACTCTTCTTCAATTAAATAATGATCAAATACCTGTGTTAGTCCAAATAATCATGTAAAGATCATGTTAAATCAATCAAATCAAATGAGAATATTAATTACTTGATATAATCCTATGATAGTATTTTAATAAGTAATATAACTTTTAAACTACACACTAGACTGATCACATGTAATGTTAATCACATGACACATTCCTTTGTCTCTCCAATCAGAGCTTTCCTTTCTGATGCGTGGCATGATCTGTGCGGTGTTTATATTTGTGTTCATTTTTGATTCGACCATAAATCAAAACATCTGAATTAGAAAACTAACTCCCACGTCATCCTTAACTCAGTTCAAACGTTCTAGAGTTGCGAGCCGGCCACTCGTAAATTTTTAACCACAAAGAACCTAACGACAAGCTGGAAAATAAACCTGTTGCAAGCTCCACCTGACGCAACGCTCCTTCAGAGTAAAAGCTGAACTCACTGACCCTTCAGGGTCCCCAATGACGCTGTGAACCAACTGCTGCCTACCTGGGGGCATTCCAAGACTAGTCTGTCGTACCGTACGCTGTTTCACCGGCTTCTGTACCAAAACAGGGTTTGAGAACCTGGCATTCTGGATCTACACGGAGGTCTCCGCAAGGGTATGTAGCTCGGCAAGATAGCGTCTGAATGTGGTTTTTGAAACTCCAACCATAGTTTAGAGCAAAACATTCGCTCCCACACAGAACTATGGCTTCTCCGGAAACGAGGGTTCTGATAACAACATTCCACATTCACACCATCCATTTAGCCTCATTCACAACTAGATCCATCCATCACATAGTGTTTAAAGTTAGAGTTAGCCTTGTTTTAAATTGTTTAGAAATAAATCTTCTTAAATGTTTAAACTAGTCTCTCTCTCTCTCTTTTTGACTCTGGGTTATTACGAAGTGTTACCTAATCCCTGCAATAAAAAGTTCCGATCTTCTGATTAAAGGTAGTATTCAAAGATACATCAAATTGATTCCATATTTTCTATGGAATCTCACATTTGATGGTTTCCTACGTAAGATGTAACTATTGAGCCTTTACACCAGTTTGTGACATCACAAATGGGGTATTTTTGAAACAGCTTGTTTTGGGATCATAAGAAAATAGAATACAGACTGACAGGTTTTATTTCACGTTTGGAGTGTTTATAGAGGTGGTAGCGGCCCAAATGGCAGTGCAAAAGGTGAATTTTGCATAATATGTCCCCTGTAGGGATTCTGTTCATTAATCTGGGTTGAGGGAAATGGTTTAAGATTGACTTTGGCCTTGTGGACTTTCTACTGAATCAGATTTAGCAAAAATAAAGGAGATTCATTTAAAAAGTGCTAACTTAAGAAAAGGGATCTTATTTAAAAAATCATATTTGCTATAAATTCAAATGTCTTTGTATTATTTAATATTTCTAACCTTTGTTTAACCAAATGCTATTGAAATAAACTTTTTCTGAGAGTGGTGGGAGGGGTAGAGGGGATTGAACCAGCAACTCCTCTTAAGCTTTTGACAAACTGTATCACAGCAAAAACAAAAGCAAAAATAATAGAAAGGCAACAGTTTCAGTGAGAAAACAAATAGTTGGGTCAAACTTATTTAAATTCCCAAAATGCCAATTCTCACACGTCATTGCTTCCCGCCTTCTTTTCCAAGTCAGCAGACCTAAACTTCTATTTATGCACCACATCATTTCCCCTTTTTTTCACTTTCATTTTTCTTCCAGCTATGCAGTTCCAGGAGTGGCTGCGGTCACTTTGCTCCCACGTAGGACTGAAAGTGTCTGAATCGGAGGAGGTCTGGAGTTTGCTGCCGTCCTTGCCCTCCCTCTCCCTGTCCACCTCTCTGCTGAGCTTAGGAGCTCTGGCCTCCTTCACCGTGTACTGGCTGGTGACCCGTCCTCGGCCCTTGCGTCCCCCTTGTGACCTTCAAGCCCAGTCTGTTGCTGTCGGCGTGAGTGGCTGATCACAGCGTTATGTAAAGTCATCATCATGGGAGTTGTTTTGTTCTCGGTTAAGATTGAGTTTGTTTCCAGGGAGATCCGAGCTGCAGGCGATCCGCTCTGCTCAAAGACGACACGCTGCTGGAATTTTGCTATGATGAAGTCAAGACGGCGTATACTATGTTCCACAGAGGTCTGAAGATCTCAGGTGAAGGATGATGACAAGTTTAGCATCATCCTGGATCATGTCAGTGTCTCACAGGTGTCTTGTGACCTTCAGGAAACGGTCCGTGTCTGGGCTTCAGGAAACCAGGTCAGCCCTATGAGTGGATCTCCTACCTCCAGGTTAGACATGTTTTTAATTTCATTCCTGAGCCCCAGGATCACGTTGGTGTAATGGGTTTTCTTCACTGAGAAGTGACGGCGTCTCCAATCTTTCAGGTGGCTCAGGAGGCACAGTGGATGGGCAGCGGCATGCTGGCGAAAGGCTGCCAGAAGTATATCGGAGTATTTTCCCCAAACAGACCTGAGGTATAAACTCATCCTGGCTTTAGATTGAGCTTCATTTTTCCTGCAGGTCATTACACACCCCAACTGCTCCTAATGCACCTGATGCATGGTGAGTATTAGCTAGTAATTTATGCAGATCCTACTAAAGCAATGATCTTAGCATTAGGAAGCAAATGGATCAAACCACTGAGTCATTTAAAATCGTGTTTTAATTAAAAGGTAAATAAAGATTAATGCAAGAGTCAAATAGATGCAGTCCACACAGGAAAGACGCTGGCATCAATTCTTGTAGTAAAGGGTTCAAACATCATTTTAAACAACAACAATAATGTACTTGCATCTTCCTAAAGCCTTGTTGACATGTTTAAAGCGACCCTAATGGCCATATGTTGGTACGGTCTTACTCAAACACACATATTCTGCCTGCTAGCGATGATTTAGGTATGTAATGCCCCCTATCAACAGGGAAAATACACATAATCACTTTAACGTTCAAATTGATCGCAACACACTTTGATGAACGAGTGAACAAGTGTAGTTTAGATGCAAAGATCACTTGGAAAAGTTGATTCCATCCATAAACAAACGATGACACAGCAGTGTGCTTTGGCAAAATTAAGACTGGACACTTAAAAACAAATTCAAGAATAATATTTTTTCTGCCGATGAGATCAAAATGATATTTTATTGTTGTATCTCATTAAATCCAAACTGTTGTGAAGAGCACGGTAGTGGAGCTGTGATGATTTGGGCCTGTTTCCACCCACAGCTCCCAGTGGTTTAGCACTGTGACTGGTTTTAATATTTCATAGTTTGTTTATCTTATAAATGATTGGTCACCCTGGCAGCCGGCGCTGGGACCCGGTGCTGTTCTGGAGCAGGTTGGGATACAACATCCCACGTGTTAAAACACTCGGTTCTAGCCAGCAGGTCTTCTACTGTTGTATTTATAACAAGCCACTGTTACATCTAATGAAATATGAGTTCTCACATATCTCAGTGATGCACTGATTAAATACATCACGCAACAGAGAACCTGATATTATTGGATTTTTTTTACATATAGACAGTTTTCCATTTCAGATTCCGTTTTCTAGCCAGGTTGTTCTTACGTTTTCTGTATTTTTCATCATTCTAGCTTGATGTAGCTCCTTGTCGATGCTCTACCTGACAGTATATGAGCTTTAAGAGTTCTAATAATAATAAATGTCACACACACACACACACACACACACACACACACACACACCACCACCACCACCATTTTGATGTGATCTTTATTTGTCCTTCCTCAAAGTGTGTATGTGTGTGTCTCTTAATATTTATAATAAGGTGTGTGTGTGGTTGCATTGTGTTAGCAGTACATCTTACAGAGCAATATCTCTGCTTATTAGCTCATTTTTATTAAATATATACATCAAGCACTTTTTCTTCTGTCATTTGTGTCGACTGGCTTAATGAGAGGCTGAGCGCTCCGATGGAGCAGAAAATTAGCTTTTACTTTCAATCCACTCCCTGACTAAAGTCTATTTACAACACAACTGTTTTTATTTTGCAGGTGGGAAGCACCTGACAAAACATCCATGTCCCCACACATGCACGCACGCACGCACGCACGCACGCACGCACACACACACACACACACACACACACACACACACACACACACACACACACACACACACACACACACACACACACACACACACACACCAGTATATCTGTCAGAAAAGCTGGGAAAGGACTGAATCCTTGTAACGATGGTGCCTTGTCTCCCTCTGCTGGTGACAGTGGATAATCTCAGAGATGGCCTGTTACACCTACTCCATGGTTCTGGTGCCGCTGTACGACACACTGGGGATGGAGGCGATGGTCCACATCCTCAACCTTGGTGAGATAATCTGAAATCCAGTTCAGTCTGGCATGAAATGAAATCCCCCACTGATGGAGAAATGAATGAACAAAGTTGAGACATTAAAATGAACAAGAACAAAGTTAATAAGTGTGCTTAAAGCAGCACTGTTAGAAAACAAGATTTAACTGAATACTAAACCAAAACAGTTTCAAACGTATCTTTTTATCTGGTTCTTTCAAAGACATTTCTAATTAAATGCTTGTTTGAATCGGCCTAGATGATTTAAACAGGGTACATTTTGAATAATTGAAAATCTAAATGAGATTTGACTTTTTAAAAGACTAAAACTGCACGTGAAGTAACTTAAGGGGATTCAAAATGTTTTTCTTATTTTTTAATAAAACATCCACCCCAGGATTTTAAAGCAGTGCTGCTACATTCACTCACTCCTGTTTCTGTTTGCCCAGCTGAGATAACACTAGTGATCTGCGACCGAGAGCAGAGGGCGGCGTGTCTGCTGGAGTGCAAAGAGAACGGCTCCACTCCGAACATCTCCTGCCTGGTTCTCTTCACTGACTTCAGCCAGGCCTTCGCAGAGCGGGCCAAGAAGTGTGAGGTGGAGGTTTTGAAACGGGACCAACTCATGGTGAGTGGGTGTTGGAAGCACTAAATCACAATTATCTTAAACGATGAAAATGATGTGTAAATTGATGTGAGCGCTTGTCTTTTTGCACATCCCAGGAGCTGGGAAGGCAGAACCTCAAAGATCCTGTGGTGAGTGTCCAGGCCAGAACAGCTAACCCTTTAAATGCCTGCCTGACAGCCCCTGTCCCATAAGATATCATTAACACTCGCTCGTTGGGGGATTCAGAGTGGAGGAAGCCCTGAGTCATGTTCTCTTCTTATTTATTTATTTATGTATTTTGCTGCATTGCAGCCGCCCCAGCCTGAGGATCTGGCAGTGGTTTGCTTCACCAGTGGAACCACAGGTACGTCTGATCCCAGATGTCTCCCCGTAATTACACCTCTCTCCCATCATTAGGGAAACGTCCCTCAGTGCCCACTGACAACCTCTCTTTAAGCTACCACTGGAGGTTCCTTTGCTGTGCGGGGCGCTGCTGCAGTAATCTCTTGTTTATTTATCCAGGAAAGCCCAAGGGAGCCATGATCACCCACGGCAACATCGCCTCCAATACTTCCTCTGTCATTAAGATCCTGGAGGTCTGTCTAAACTTCCACCTCCTTGTCTAATTGAGAACAGCCTCACAGCTCGCATAACTTCCCATCCTGCATGCTTCTTAAACCTGACCCCCCCCCCCCCTCCTGCTGTGTTTAATGGTATGATTAATTGGACGTTTGATCACCCCTGTTGCTGTGAGGTAGTTTAGCTAATTGCTCGTCCAAAGATTTTGCTGTTGAATAGGCCGTGCAGCGTGTTTGATTGCCTTCGATGTCTGACAGTCATCTCTCTCTCTCTCTCTGGTGCTTTTGTTCACTTTACACGTCTTGTTTCCTCTCAGGGTTCGTTCGCGATCACACAAGAGGATGTGTCCATCTCATACCTGCCGCTTGCCCACATGTTTGAGAGGATGATTCAGGTAGTCGATTCTCTTCGCAGATGTATTTTCCCAGCAGGTCTTTGCCTCTGAACCGCAAATAAAATCATTTGTACCACAGCTCACGATGTACTGCTACGGGGCCCGAGTAGGATTCTTCCAAGGGGACATCTCTCTTCTTATGGATGACATTAAAACTCTCAAACCCACCCTGCTTCCTGTTGTACCTCGGATACTCAATCGCATCTACGATAAGGTCAGAGAAGTTCAGACGTTTAAGTTTGCTCCAACTGTGAGGAATCTGCTGAAACGGACTGACTCGTTTCTTTAAAGATCCAGGGTTCGGTGAGCTCTCCGTTCAAACGGCTCCTGCTGAACTACGCTGTGAGGAGGAAGCAGGCGGAGCTCCGTGACGGCATTGTGCGAAACAACAGTTTGTGGGACAAACTGGTGTTCAACAAAATTCAGGTGAGCTTCTGGAGCCTTTAGGTGCACCACTTCCTCGATCGTCCTGGCACGTGTTTATCAAAAGATCTGGCTAGTTTACTGTGAACTGCTTTTGAAAATCATATGTCGTTGATTTGATTGTCTTGTTGCCAGGCAGAATCAGCCGATTTTAGTCCTAAATGACACATTTTCTGTTAATCTAACTTCACAGCTTGAACCACCTGTGTTTTTAAAGTAGCTCTTGCATTACAGCTGCACATGTAAACAAGCAGCCTCACAAATAGCAACGATTTGAGTCCAAACTTTCTCAGGAGAAGCACAATAGTTCCAGCTATTGATGCCAAAATCACTCGCAGCATATTGGCCCTGTGGGAGTGTATTGGAGAGGCATTCACACATGCAACCAAGAACTGAAAGATTTTGGCTCGGTGCTTTTATTCAGATGGGAAACTATGACCGAGGGTACAATAGTTGAAACAGAAACAAGCTGGGATCCATGTCGGGATGGTACGCGAGTGGTTTCGCTTTGTGTTTCAGGCCAGTTTAGGAGGAAACGTTCGATTTGCCCTGACTGCCTCGGCGCCCATCTCCCCCACGGTCATGTCCTTCCTCCGAGCCACTCTGGGATGTATGATCTGTGAAGGCTACGGACAGACGGAGTGCACTGGAGGCTGCACTTTCTCTTTGATAGGGGACTGCAGCACGGGTAAATAAAAAAAAAATTGGTTTTAAGCTGCTTTGCGCCAAATCTCAGCTGATGAGCAGATGTCTCTTCCTCAGGCCATGTTGGCGCTCCCGTGCCGTGCGCCATGGTGAAGGTGGAGGACATCCCTGAGATGAACTACTATGCAAAAAACGGAGAAGGAGAGGTGAGAATTTAGGAAAGGCGACACCCTGTTCCCAGATATCCTCATAAAACAGCCCGTCTTTATTTTTTAGATCTGTGTGCGTGGCCCCAGTGTGTTTAAAGGTTATCTGAAGGACCCAGAGAAAACAAAGGAGGCCTTGGACAGCGACGGCTGGCTGCACACCGGAGACGTGGGCCAGTGGCTCCCTGTAAGACTAAACAATGATGCATATTTATGTACTATCGTTTCCTGTGAGCAAATTAAAGTCGAACCCATCTCCTGCCTCAGAACGGCACATTGCGCATTATTGACAGAAAGAAGCACATCTTCAAGCTGTCCCAGGGCGAGTACGTCGCACCAGAGAAGATAGAAAACGTCTACCTGCGTTCTGTTCCCGTCCTCCAGGTGTTCGTCCACGGAGATAGTCTGCAGGTAATGGAAAATTGTGTTTAATGTATCTCCCGTGTCCAAGGTGAATACTTCACGTTCTTCTGTGTTTTGTGGCTCCAGTCTTATGTTGTAGGAATAGTTGTGCCCGACAGGGAGGTGTTTATGGACTGGGCCAAGGAGCGCGGATTTGTTGGCTCCTACGCGGAGCTGTGTCAAAATCCCGTGAGTCTTATTCCTAATTCTTAAAAAGATCTCCATTTAATGGGGTTTGACATGCTTTATCCTCCCAACAGGATGTAAAGAGTTCAGTTTTAGAAGACATGAGAGCCGTGGGGAAGGAAGCGGGCCTCAAGTCCTTCGAGCAGGTGAGTCGTCGCCAACGACACGGCTGGTCTTGCTTTAATGTCAACAAGCTAACAGGAACTTTGCATCTTCTCAGGTGAAAGACCTTTATTTGCATCCGGAGATGTTCAGCGTCGCCAACGGCCTTCTCACGCCTACCCTGAAAAGCAGACGAGCAGACATCCGCAGAGTGTTCCAGGAGGAGCTATCAAGCATGTACAAGACGACAATTTAGCTAAACAGACCGCCTGAGGGCCATGGCGTCCAGAAGGGAAGATAAACTAGTCCTGCAGAGCCTCGTGTAGAAATGTACAGTAGGAGACATTCTGACTGATGGGCGTCTAACGAATCCAGATCAGGGATTTGCCAGATTCTGGGGGATTACTTTTTAGAAGCTACCTTCAGAAACCTGAAGTTGGGTATTTTTACTCTGCAAGATTAAGGGGATGTCATTATCATTACTGTAGGTTTATGTGTCCTCGTATCACCATGACATAAGCTCAGTGGTCAGTCTGGATTCATCATCGTTTCGACTTTCAAAGATGTTAGAAATAAAGAGAAATTTTGTCTCAAAATTAATTTACTTCATGATTGACGACACATCACAGCTGAAACATTTACCAACGTACAAATCAAACTACAGAGTTCCCTTAGCTGTGTTAAAAAAAGATGTAAAAATAAATAAATAAATGCTGATTAGGAAGAGCACCTTCATTAGTAAAATTAACGTGGAACACAAACTCAGAAGAGGAAAGAATAATATACTTGTGAGGCCACACAATAACAAACCTTCATGAATGTGGTGTGGTTTTCATACTGAAACTCAGCCCAAACCACGGGTGGAAACAAAAGAGTGCAATAGCAGTATGACTTCGTCCAAAATCAAAAACTGGCATCCATTCCTGGTGTTGAGGGTGAAGAGAGACTTTCTAGAATCACAGCAACGTGTGAGCGTCTCTGCTAACACACTCCAACCAACAATAGAACAAAGGACTGGATGTTAACAAAAGAAAAGTGTGTGTCATGTGTGGTCCCTCCCACTAGAGGGAGTGCCAGCATTGGTTTTCCTGGCATCTTCCTTGGATCCTGAGTGTCCAGAGACATTCTCACTTCTTACACTTAAAAGTCAGGATCACGAAGGCACATTATTGACAGGTGATGTTTAAAATGATTAAAAGCCCTTAAAGATAGCTAAAGATAACCAGAAAAAAGCCCCAGAGCTACAACCGTTTCAGAGCTAAGTAATAAAAACTACCTTTAACAAACTTTAACGGCTGATTAGACTAATAACAAACTGGTTTAAATTTTATAACAAGGCTGGCAAACATTGCCAAAACCCTGGGTAGTGTAATCCTGGCAGAATGAACGGAGTCCTTTGCTATGAACATTAAAATAAACTAAAAAACACAAAATATTGGCTTCTGAATTCTCAGAGCTGAGAGTTAATGTGGCATTCAGCTCCTTCGACTTTCTGCACAGAGAATGAAACATGAGCATGTAGTGCAAGAGGAATGGGGGGGGGGGGGGGGGGGGGGAACAAACTGATAATCAGGTTAAGGCCGCTGCGGTCCGCTTGAACTCCAGAGGAGCTTACAAAGGGCCGTCCATTCAGAGGCATGAAGAGCACACGTCCCCACATTCAGCCTTCCTGCGTCAGTCGTCAGCAACAATGGACAGAGCGCGCAGCTCGGTGAGCTTGGCCTCGGTCTCCCTCTGCCTCTGCTCGTCCGTCAGCCCGCCCTGATCGATCTGGTCTGTTAACTCGCTGAAGATCTTGTACATTTCAGTGAAGTAGACTACCTGGATGGTGGAGAAAAGATAAAAGTCGAGTCGTGCCTTCAAAAAATAGATAAAAAAAAAAAAAAGCCTCTAAAACAGAACTCTGCTCCACCCGCACAAGCTGATGGTTCTCTTCCTCACACAGGCTGGGCTCCTAATGAGAAGCGATCTGAGTGAAGGGAAGAGGGAGCCCACATGAACTACTCTAACAAAGCCCCCAAAACCAGCACTCAGTGGACTGCAGTCTCGCCCGATCCAAACAAGAGATAAGAGTGTTCACTGAAGAGCCTTCTTGACACTTCCCACCCCTACTTCCTCCCCTCAATGCATGAGTCAGGCTGCTTTAATGATTAATAGACCTTAATCACATTACAAGACTCCAGAAGGGTAGGCAGAGAACAGAGGGACTGGGAACCCCTTGGAACCCACAAGGAGGCACGTTTCAGTATTTATTCACACGATGCTCATGAGCTTACCAAGTGGACGTCTCTGAAAATGGCACTGGCTCATCAGAGCAGAACTATTAAGACCAACCAGGAGGAAAAAAGTTTGCTTTTTCATGTAAATGGTCACGACAATGCAAGAAGTATTTGTGGACTTAGAACGTTGCAGTAGGCATTACCGACAGCAGCAGCCAAGAGGAGTAATGTCAGAAACCACTTCATACCAGCTCTGTCTGAAAGATGTTGCCTGTTTACACCAGAATTTGCCACCTAAACCACACGAGTGGGCCGTAAGTATTGGGTTACCGCTGTTTGTAGGGGTAAAACGGATACATGCCTTTTCCTCAAAAGCACCTTGTTGAAAGGGCCAACGGAAATGTCCACATGACAGACCAGACCAGAGTGTCCTCCATACCCAAAAACCACCGTACAATTACCCGAGTCACCGTTGGGAGGGAGGCTCGCTATGGCCTTCAGGGTGAAGCTCAACAATCTGACCTTTTGCTGAGGATTCATTCAACATCAGCCACATTTACTCAATAATTTGAATCATAACAGGTCCATGAATGATGTATGTCTACAGAACGAGGATAGACAAAACCATCTTTGACTTTTTAAATAAACAAAACACGTAATTCCTCAACATCTGCATAAGTTGTGGACCTGTCCCAGGGATCTGCTGCTGGGAAGAAGGAAACTGTCCATAAGGTTCAGAATCAGGTCCGATCACCACTCACTTTTGTTTAATAAAGATAACACATCAAACAAACAAAACATTAAGAAGATCTGTTTACCTTCCCATCAGATATTTGTACCACATGAGCTAATCTGAAGTTCAAAGGCCACCACAGAACTCCATCATTGTCATTAGGTCGGAGATAATCGGGTTTACTCATTAGGAGAGTGCCAGCGACTGACCCAAAGAGGAAATGACATGACTGTGAAGTCCACGAGGAGGGAGGGGGACATGGCGGCGCTAACTTCAGACACGCAGCTGCTTAAAGATCTAGCTTCAGGTTAGAGGAAAGCCTGCAGGACGGCAGTGGAGCCAGACAGGCGAGGCCTTCCTCACAACAGTGTGGGTCGTCACCGTGGGGTTAATCACGTTAGGACCACAGGGCGGGAGACAGACGGGCTGAGATAAACACACACAGCTGGAAGGGTGTGTCTGCAGCTCCGACAGCCTCCGATCTCCTGCAGAGGAGCACCAACCTGTGCACGGATGAGAGCCTCAAAGCTGGGCTGGAAGTAGTCGATGCGGCTCTGGTAGAATTTGGGCATCTCGTCCAGCAGCTGCTGGTTCTTGGCCTCAAAATCCTCCTTGACCGGTCGGAGCTCTTCTTTAGCCTGGAGCGTGGAAGAAAAGAAAAATAAAAAGCAGAGGTCAGCGCCTGATGGTTCTAAATTTAGAGCCGAGAACACAGATGTGTGTCGTTTAAGTCACACGACACATTTTTCTACACAGGTTCAAAATACCTACCGAGTGATAACGGTTAGTCAAAGCTACAATCAGTCCTTGATGCATCTTTACTGATCTTTTTCTTATTGTTATGAAAGACATTTGCCTTATTCCCACAGAGATGCAGCGCAAAAAAAGGCTGTAATCACGACCAGAGTGAGGAGGAGTGGGTGATGTGGGCAGACTTGGCTGTGAGTGGACTCCAGCACCACGGATCTCCGTGTGAATGTATTAGTGGGTAGTCTGCTGTAGGCATGGAGGTATGGAAGGCACAAACAATTATTGTGAAAGGGTGAGAATTTTTATTAAGGGGAAGGAGGGGAGCTGCTATAAGGAAACAGTAACATACTGTTTATTTACTCCCCTCCTCACCTCTCCGTCTATTTTCCTCCCAGATGGAAGTTAAAACGGTAAAAGAAACGTTGTATAAGGATCATTTCTTTAAGTGCACATGGACTCAAAGGGCAGGCATGTAGGGCCTCTTCAAGGCTTTGTTCCCCTGACAGTGCTTTTCTCAGTGTGTGTGGGAGGCTCACCGTGTGAGGATGTGTTAAAGGCAATAGCATAGGCAACCGTGCAACACTATCTGTGAATGTGTGTGCTTCAGTAGTGGCCTCGTGGTGTGTGTGTGTGTGTGTCTACAATTCTCAATTATGTGCCTGTAGATGTGCAGCAGTGCCTTTTTGAAACGGCACTACTCGAGAGCCTGCTAGCTTGCGTGGGTGAAGGAGTGCACATGTACTGTGTGCATGTGCTCAACGACTTTATTCACATCCAGTCAGCATTTGTGTCTTTTCCCCGCTCATCTCGCTCTGTTCACGGCACACGTACGAGCAGGTGAACCCCGCTCCCCTCGAGTCACAGTCAGGATTCTAGCAGCACCTGATGGAGCTTAACCATGGCGGGTCCGGTTTTTTCTTTCTCTTCGTATTTCTCCACTTTGGACTGTAAGCGTTTGTAGTCCTGCAGCGCCTGCTCCCGACGCTTCACCGCCATGTTCAGGCTCGGGAAGACGCCGCTGTACCTGAAACGAGCCAGCAAACAGAAACGTCAAGCGACGGCAGACTTCGCCAGCAGGAAAATAAAAGAAACTTTGTGAAATATTCAGATTGTGCATTGCATCACATCTCCATAAACGTCATCATGATTTAATGAAATTGCTCTCAACATCTTACTGTAGAGGTGCTCTCAGAGGACAGCTCTGCATTAAGCTTCCTCTCATCTATTATCTAATTACTATAGTTCAGAGTGGCATGAAACAATTCACTTTGTGACAATTATCATATTCCAAATGAAAATATATTCTTGCAACAAGAATCCTGGTCTTCTGCACTAAAAATAGGAAAGCATTCATCTGTAACTTAGCAACAGGAGTCGGAGCTTCATCCTGGGACTTGTTGCGCTGGGTTTATGGTTGACGGGGAGCAGGAATACTGTATGCAAATATATACATATCACATCTAATATGATTTTATGAAAAACAGACATGTCTAGTAAAAAGAGTAAAGCAGCCATTAAAACAGTCGTGCTATTTCATCAAGAGTCTGGATGTGAAACTTCTTTGGGTGAAATGGCCGCCAGCATCACCAAAACTCGGGCAAAATCCATCTTTGGTTCTTTTTTTTTAAAACCAAAACAGAAACCAGTAAAAGTGTTTTCAAAGGCAGACTCCAGAATTATTCACACAGGTGCCTACTACATATGAGTCAGGAGTAAAAACAGTCGTAATGAGGAATTAGATCAACCGTTTTTCAATGAGTCATTTAAAGCGTTTTATCAGCTGCGTAGGCTCGCTGCTAGAATAGCCTTCTTTTTCTCTACCCATAGCGTTATTAGCCACAAAATGTGTGGGCTACATAGTTTACGTTCCTCTCCACGCCATCTCTTGCCCTGCTGTGTGTGTGCAGCAGTTGCAGGAACCACTAAGAACTCGTGAACTGGTTGTGAAATCCTAAACAACAACTCTGTCTGAAAAGAACACCTACAGCAGGCTGATGGGGCAAGGGGGAGAGCTGAGGCTTGCTTTCAGACAAACAGGGATCATTTCCAGCAGGAAGTTGAGCAAGGAGTGGTCTTGTAGTGTATAAGTGACATCACATAGCTCAACAGGGCCCAGCCCCACGGCCCACGCTTTACCGCTATTTATAAAATCCCACTTTGGCCCAGTTTACGGCAGGGGTGGATGCCGATCCTCAAGTCTACTATCTGCTCCAGTGTACGCATACTTCTAAGTGCCAAGGGATTATGTAACTACCCTCTAGGCATGACCGCTCTCCAACATATTTGTTCTGTGCTGACAATGCAGCGGCAAACCAGCTTTTACACGACACAATGGATCATAGATAAATCACTGGTGTCGTTCACCTGCTGCTTTCTTTCTCACGACAAGCCCCAATGCATGTTTACACCTGATAATTAGGCAAGACCGCTGGTGGTAGTAACTTTATTTAAACACAAAGACTTTACATCCCAACCATCACAGTTGAGATGAAGCAGGAAACAGTAGTCTATTAATTAACCCATTCCATTCTCGTTTCTCCATCTCAGAGACTCGGCTGTTTCCGGCGTCATGTGTGAAAGCATGCAACATTCCTGGGACAGTTCGCTCTAAAACCACCCAGACCTGGGACTTTTCCCTAGACTTCCTGATCCTGGCTGAACTACTGGTCAGGTTTGGTTTTGTGTGAGGGTTTCCTGGTTAGACGCTGAATGCGGGCTGAGGGCACACTGCTGTCCATGTGACAGGTCAGGGTGCGGTGAAGTGGCTGGATGGAAATAGCGTATGAATCCATGTGTTTTTTATGAGAAGCTGCCAATCCACAGACGGGCCAGTCTGAGCTGTCAGCCAAGCCCAAGTCTGGTCCAGACTTGGGCTTGGCTGAGGCTGGCCGTCCCCTCTCGACTCTCACTATCACATAACTCACTACTGTAAAGAATGCACGAGAGCTCTAAAAATAGGAGAATGTGTTTACGAGTGCATTGCTGCCTTTTCGTTTGAGATAAAAACTAAAAGTTGCATCACCTGGTAAAGCTCTCATTCACTCGGGTTTTCAGTGTGGTCTCTTGGATAAATGAATGCCCTGTGAGTCAATCTCTGTGTGGGGAAAAAGCTCTCGCGCTCCTGTTTCCGGAAGCAGAAGTTAGTCGGAGTAGTAGGAGGCGGGAAACACTCATTATTATCCATGACACACAAACATCTGATCTCTGATTGGCTAACAGCAGAGCAACTCTTCCACTGCCTCTGTTCGCGCTTTATTGATTACAAAAATGCAACGCTGATGTTTTATCTCCACAAGACTGAATTTGTTCTGCCGTGTTGTGGAGTTGTTACTGCTAATGGTTAGTTTCTACTAGCCGATCCACGATCCGCTCTCCCCTGGTAAGAAAAAAATCAACACAGCCTTTAGCTGTCGCAAACAAACTTATGGGCTCGACACACGGGAGGCGACAAACGACCGCGATCAGCGAAATTTGTCGCTGTCGTTTTTATTACCTGACACACGGGAGGCGATCCGCGGCCAGCGGCAAAGCCGTCTACGCGTTCTGTTCCATGGCGAAATCGAAACTTCCGTTGTTTTGTTTGGCTGTGTCAGGTTGGAGGGAATTAAGGTTATTTAAGCGGTTCAGAGTTAAAAAAGCGGTACATATGATGTTTCACTAGTTGCTGTTAGAGTTATGTGAAATCTTACTTCTGATTTTACTATAAAACATAATAATAATCAACTTCTCCTCCATGTTTGCTCGGAGATGTGCGGAGCATCCTGTCCGCTCATTGGTCAGTGAATGAAACCTCCGTTGATAGGTCCTCGTCCGAGCGACAGCGATGAAAAGTTGAAAATGTTTCAACTTTCTGGGATCGCGTCGCTGGGTCGCCTGTGCACGACACGTGCACGAGCGCAAAATTTCACACGCACGTTTTTCGCATTTCGCTTGGTAGGAGAGAGACCCGCGATTATCGCTTTGTCGCGCATGTCTCATTGAAAATGAATGGAGGAGAGGCGATGTCGCCTCCCGTGTGTCGAGCCCATTAGACGAGGCCATGAATGTCAGCTTCTGTGAGGCAGAAGATGATGGATCATTTATCCATCTATCAGATAACAGAGAGTTGTTGAACATTTTAAAGGTAGAGACCCACAGTCATCATCACACACTGGTGAAATGACATCTCTACATTTGACCCTTCCCCGTGGGAAGCGGTGAGCTGCAGACACGGCTGCACTCGGGAACTGTGGTGGTTTAACCTCCAAATCCAACTCATTAAAGATGTCAAGCAAGGAGGCATTGGGTCCCATTGTTAAGGTCTTTGGTATGACCCGACCGGGATTTGAACCCCGATCTCCTAAAAGCACACACTCTACCACTAGGCCACTGAGAAGGTTCAGCATGCAAATACCAAAAGTATTTCAAAAAGTAGAAGTATTACACAGTTTCTCAAAGTAAAGTATTGTTAGGAAAACAAAGTGTTCAATGGCTGTGAACTGTGAGAACCTGAATGTCTTTTTTGTCTTAAAAGTTTTTTCATGTTCATTAAAATCCAACTCACAAACCATAAACACAAAATGATGTTCAGACAAATTTAAATCTTTGTATCCCCGACAAAACCCTGAACCTCCATCATTCAGTTCAGCAGCTAAGACCACATACCCCCTCCTGGCTTTAGGCCTTGAGACGTGCTCCAGGGCCAAAGTCCTCCTCTGACAGAGAGAGGTGATGGTGGTTTGTCCAGTTCTAGCTCAATCTGGGGCAAAGGTCTGAAAACAGGCCTGACTTTTGTCTCACCCAAAGGAACAACGGAGCAGAAAAGGGCCACAGCGGAGCACCAGATAATACAAATGCTTGGATGCCCACGCACACCCCTCCCCTCACACAAACACAGTGATGTCATCTGGTGACCCCACAGAGTGGATAAAACTCAGGATGGAGCCTAAGAGAAAGGATGAGACACGGAGGGTGGAAAAGGAGTGTTTATACATTTGTTTTCTGCTCATTTCCACAGATGAAGACTAAAGGATGGATGTCAAAAGCTTTAACACAAGTTACACACGAACAAAGCAGCGTCAACTAACAAACAGACTGTATACAAATGACAAATATACACAGTACTAAGTGAAAGTCTTCCATTAATATAACAATCTTCTTTTCAACTCGTCACTAATTGTATTTACGAAGCCACAAGATCACAAGCCAGAGGATTGGGAGAAAAATTAATGAAGGACTAATGGAATCTTAATGGAAGCTTTAAAGCACACCAGCTCTGGTATTTTATTATTTTACAAACAGCATCTTTGTCAACTAATAACTAGTAATGCTGCCTTTTAGAGAGGTTAAAAGTAAAACAGAGAGGTCAGTTTGGTTTGGCGTTTATCTAAAAAGCTGCTTCCTCTGCACTATTTTAGAATCACGTTAAAGGAAAAGTTGCTTTATGGTTTAAAAACATCCCCTTAAAGTCTAGGCTGGTGTTAGCCTATTGCATATGCATGTGTGTGTGTGTGTGTGTGTGTGTGAGTGAGTGAGAGACAGAGAGAGAGCAAGTGTACGCTGTCCTGAGACAGTTCTTCCCTAACCAATCCACGGTGTCGAGCCCAGGAAGCTGGGCCCTTTGCCATATTCTGAGCCTGCCCACACGTCCGCCTGCCGCCCACCAGGAAGAGGAAATTAGAACCATTCCATCCTGTCATTGCTCTGCCACCAGTGCACATGAGGGAGACAAGGCTGTTCACACATGCAGACGCTGGTCATACAACGATTCCCTTTGCATCAGCAATTTAAAAATGAATAAATATAAAATAAGAAAAATCAACATTAATCTGCTGTAGACGCTGTATGCTTGTGTACTCTAATAAAACACATGTTTAATCTCCTGGGAGGAGCCAAGAGCAGGAAGAAATACCTTAACTAGCACTCCGGAAGACGGGTGGGATGGTCCAGCCACTCCCTTCAGTAACTCTGCATCGCATTTGTGTGTGTGTGTGTGTGTGTGTGCGTGCGTGCGTGCGGAGTTACACTTGAGGACTGGTATAGCACTCACTGCTTTTCAAATGGGGGAGAATATTAGGAAGGCCAAAACACACTTCCCTCCAGACACACACACACTCACCACAGCTCATTCTGAGTTCCTACTTACTGACCACTAGAAAGTTTCTTCTGATCCTGGAACACATACATCCGTTGAGGTTGTTCATCTCTGCTCTGCGTTTCATTTGATCCGTTTTCAGATAAAATGTTAATTTGATTCACAAAACAAAATTACACATCACAATCATCACACCATCTTCTGATAGAGTTTGAGTTTGATTCAACATACTGAGACAGAATCCAAAACAATATGAAAAGAATAAAGAATGATTTTTATGTCAGCCAATGAGACAAATCCCCCCCCCCCCCCACTGCCACTTCACTGATGAGATAAAAAAGACAGTTGAACAGCAGGAATGGCAACAGAAGAAGAGTCTGCGGGAGATCTGTTCTTTATACATAAACATCTTTTCAGCCATTTTCTGAAGAAATCAATCTGCTTGCAAACTCCACCGTATAATTTTCATCCCTTTACCCATGCAGAGCTGCTCTATAAATCAAATCAACACACAAATGCAAGCGAATATAAATTGGTTGATCTGTATATTAACCAATTTGACTTATTGGGGGTGTGATGTTAGTCATAGGAGTCTGGAAGGCACAATACAAATACAAACCACTTACCATTTATTTACCATTCATTCACAAAATTGAACAAAAAAGTTTTGAAGGGGTCAGATCTTGTTTTACTTTGCAAACTGCTCCTTAAGCCTCTTTAAAGCTCATAAAACTTTGTTGGGGCTAAAAATGGCCCAGGAGCCCTAAGAAATGGTCAAATACAACCCCATAATAAATCCCTACAAGCTCCACAGAGCTTGAGGCCAATACTCAGGCTAGCATTAACAGTAGCGCTGGCTAGCATAGTTCTGCTGTTAGCATCACTGTACGCAGACGTTGAAGTGGGTTAGGACTAGGGCTGACCGATCTATCTTTTTTGGACCGAAATTGCGATTTCAAACTGCATGATCACATGACGTCAAAGCTGCGGTTTTAGCGGTTTTGACTGATCCAGGATCAGTTGTGTAACTTTTTTTTTTTTACATCCGGGGTTTCCCCCTATGTTATGGCGGCGGCAAAAGCCTGCACAGGGGAGGGGGGTGGGGTGTATCATCCAGAACCGAGCCCAACTCCACAGCTGACAGAGCTGCACGTTCAGGTTATTTTCCTGTTTTATGTTTCCACACAAAGCGCTGCTAGAGCCGATGATAATGGCACCGTAGGTGAGCCCGGGACAGAGAGAGAGAATGTAGTTGAGTAACCCCCAAATTCCACTACCTCCGCTCCGCTCCGACATGAACGCCGGAGCAAAATCGGTCCCGTTCTAGTCAATCAGAGCAATTCCACTACTGCGGCCGTGCTCCGGCAGTGCGGCGCCGTGCGCCACCCTCTGTTCCGGCGTCCGGCAAAAATAGAATCGATCCTATTTTTGCCGGACGCCGGAGCACCTCCGCAGTAAATGGACAGAAATCACAAACGTCCAACAGGAAAAGGAGCGAGCACAACTTCCGTTTTTCACAATACATCGATAAACAAAAGGCGTTTTTTGTTTCATATGCACAGATTTAACAACTTTTAACAACTATCAATGGCGGCTGAAGTTTAAATGCACAAAAGTAAGCCATAAATACAGTTTCCACTATCAAAGTAGTCACACTTTGTTGATCCAAACACTGCTGATCTCTCAACACAAATGATGGGCAGATTAAACAGTTCATTTCGATGATTCTCCCACACAACGGGTGCTTGGCTCTAACTTCCGCGTTTATTGCTCGGACTGTATTGCAAGATCTCGAAAATCCCGCGCATGTTTGTTTGCCCACCTCAGGTCTCCGCACCGGAGCGGAGCCGTTGTAGAGCGGGTACCAGTAAAAATTGAGTTAGGAAGCGAGCGGCTGCGGAAGGCGGGGGCGGACCGGAGCGGAGCGGAGGTAGTGGAATTTGGGGGTAAGGGAGAGAGAGACTCCTCCCACATCGGAGCAGGTTCAGGCTGACTTCTAACGCCTGGTTTATGCTTCATCAGCGCGAGTGCGGAGTCGCACACTTTAGTTGACTTGAAAGTTCAACTTCTCTTTTAAAAATGGTTTTAATGTTTCTGATGGCACACGTTAGTTCAAACAAGCTAAGGCGTCAGAATGTGTGCGTCTCTCTCTCTGAACTGACGTTTTAGTGAGGAAAAACTATCAAGACGGCTTTGAAAAATGTGCAGCCAGCCTGCCTTGGTAATGCAGGGAAAACTGTTCATTTTGTTATTTAATACATTTAAAATCTATTTCTACCTACAGATATCCTCCATGCATTTTTGGAGTAGAACATGTTTTTATAAAGCTCCTCTCTAGATAAAAATCACAAGCACAAGTTGCTTCACAAACACATAAAAAAATAAAAAGAAATAATAATGGGAGAAAATATTAATAGCGTTTTTATTGTATGATTAAATAGTGAATATTAATGTGAATGAGTTGTTGTACTTGATTAGAATCTAGACCATCTTTTCCCGTAATCCACAGGATGGATTGGCACTAATGTTGGACCTCTGTTTGCAGAAAATCGTGAATTGAACCGAAATCGCAATTTCTGCTAGAAAAATTGCAATTCAATATTTTCCTAAAATCGTTCAGCCCTATTTGGGACATACAAATGTAAGTAGGCATGTCTAAGCTGATGATGCGTTAAACAAGCTTTTCTCAGAACCAACCATTTCTTCCTCGCCGTTACAACTCAGAGACAGCACAGACATTTAAAAAAATATCCTCTAACTTGCCATTTATTATTTCCCCAAAAAGAATACTGATTAAAAAAAAGTCTCTATTGTGTTACCCAAAGTTACACGTAATCCTGAGTTGTAACAGAATAAATAAAAAGTAGAAGAAGAAACAGCAATTTAGCAACGTATGAAAAATACTCACTTTTTCAGAGGGTCAATAACGGTCTTCTGGATCTGGTTTACCTGTAATAATCAAAAGGACAACTATTAGTAGAGCATCAAGGAAGGGTTAAACATGTAATTGTCAAAATGTATCACATGAGCACTGATTTCAGAGCTAAACAGTCCTTACATTTGTTGCAAATTGGTGTGACACAAACACCAGCGGTTGTGTATGATTCAAACAGAGCAAACAAACAAAAAAAGAGTGGAAAAGGGGAGGGGGCAGGCATAGAAACTTTCATGACTCTTTTATTGTACTCAAGCCCCGAGGAGAAATCTCTGAATATTCATTGAGCTTGCGATACAAACGGATGGAACCGTCAGGGGACGGACATGAAAGCAAAACCCAGCTGATTTCAAATCCTGTGCAGGGTGGGCTGTCTTACGAGATGAAAGTTCTTAACAAACAAACATTTTAACAATAACGGTTTAAATTTTCAAGCGTTCACCTTCTGGTAATCAGAAGCGACAAGGGAAGGAAGGAGGGTAGAAGGAGGTGTTAAATGGAAGTAAATGAACACCGCTTCTCGAGGCCTCCAGCATCAAAAGCAAGAAGTTAGAGCACAATTAATAAAGTTTTAGCATCATTAACAATGCAGATTTCAAAATGACTGTTAATGAAAGAAAAAGTGAGCGCTACTGAGCTGCCTCAACAAGGTAATCAACTGAAGGATGAAGGGAGCAGTGAGGGAGTTTAGGGATTGAGATGTGAGGCGACTTCAGCAGAAGAACGACGAGCAGCTCCAGAAGCCATATGTTCCACTTCTACTGGAAGGACAGTCAATCACACAACAGCAAGGAAGCAAGATCACAGCTGTGCTTTGTAAAAGTGCCCTGACCATCTATGAGAACATACAGCAACACACTCTGCTTCACACAGGCACATTTCCAAGTACAAAATGGTTGATGGTGGTTTGAGGGAAAACAGAGAGCCAATAACAAATAAGAACATGGGAATTCACATTTTCTTTGTTTTACATATTCACATCCTCTCCCCCTCCCCGACCGGAGCTGCGCTGCTGCTTTTAAGGTGAGAGCATGCAGTGAGGAGGGAGAATAAGAGCGGCCGATTTGCTTAAGCATGCTGGTGCCCTCTACCCTCTGCCCCTTCCCACAGTGAGGGGGGGTAGCTGTGATATTCCTCGGAGGCCCCGCAGAGCCTGAGGCCGATGCTCAAGCAGCAGTCTCCATCAGTGAGTCACGGGGCAGAGGCCATCCCGGCACACAGGCCTCCCAAAAATATACACAGATCGCTGAGGAAATCAATATCCCTCCAAACGGAGCATCTTCCACTGTGCCGCCGCCATCTACACTGGGGCTCGGCTTCGGTAGCAGTGCGCCGGCGGGGCTGTGCGCCCTTCTCAGCCCCAGAAATAAACACACAGACCTGGGCCACTGCTGCCTTCATTATCGCTGCACGTTTTATCTGCTGGCTCTCTCACTTGCAGGCCCCGCGGCACCACATCTCGTCTCAGCACGGAGAAGAGCAAAGGGTGGATGCTTTTGTGTCTGTTTTGCTGGAGCCGTTGATGCCGTCAGAAACAACAGCCAGCTTGAAGGGAGAAGTCAGAGTAGTGTTCCAGTGAGCTGTGCTGGATTATAAACACCTAGCAAACCTTAGAGGTGATGCACACCGAAGACTGACCAGAAAGTTCTCACAATTGCTATTCTGCCTTTGGCTCACTTTCAGCCACTCTAAGTAAAAAAAGAACGTGTAAGGCATACATTTTCACTGGGTGAGATTCGGATAAGAGCAGACAAAATCAGATGTGGCCCAGCTGTCAGAATCCACTTTTTGACGTGTGAAGATGATTTCAAAATAGTGTTCGAATCACATGGAAGGCAAGTGGTGGGCTTAGAGTATCAAACACAACTGGTCAGTTTACAGTCAGGGGTGTGTGTGGTAGCATCTTCCCTCCTTTTAGCCTTCAACTGATGGCAGTATAACAAGTTTACCTCATAAAACTGCATAATTTCTCAATGAAAATAGTAAAATAAAATAAAAAACGATGACAGAATCACTCTCCTGGTCACACAACTCACCAAATGAACCAAATGAACCCAGGTCAGAAAAACCACAAACTCAGTCCAACCTACATTTTACTTTGTCTAGTCGTTTTAAATGGCCGCTGTAAAACTTGATGAGTCTGTCTGAGCGACAGCAGCCAGGAGGTAGAAGTTACAGAATAAAGCTGCTTTTCTTCATCTCAACCATTAGAAATTATGACACAACATTACAGGTCCTTCTCAAAAAATTAGCATATTGTGATAAAGTTCATTATTTTCTGTAATGTACTGATAAACATTAGACTTTCACATATATTAGATTCATTACACACAGCTGAAGTAGTTCAAGCCTTTTATTGTTTCTAATACTGATGATTTTAGCATACAGCTCATGAAAACCCAAAATTCCTATCTCAAAAAATTAGCATATCATGAAAAGGATTTCTAAATGAGCTATTAACCTAATCATATTAATCAACTAATTAACTCTAAACACCAAAAGATTCCTGAGGCTTTTAAAAACTCCCAGCCTGGTTCATTACTCAAAACTGCAATCATGGGTAAGACTGCCGACCTGACTGCTGTCCAGAAGGCCATCATTGACACCCTCAAGCAAGAGGGTAAGACACAGAAAGAAATTTCAGAATGAATAGGCTGTTTCCAGAGTGCTGTATCAAGGCACCTCAGTGGGAAGTCTGTGGGAAGGAAAAAGTGTGGCAGAAAACGCTGCACAATGAGAAGAGGTGACTGGATCCTGAGGAGGATTGTGGAGAAGGACCGATTCCAGACCTTGGGGGACCTGCGGAAGCAGTGGACCGAGTCTGGAGTAGAAACATCCAGAGCCACCGTGTACAGGCATGTGCAGGAAATGGGCTACAGGTGCCGCATTCCCCAGGTCAAGCCACTTTTCAACCAGAAACAGCGGCAGAAGCGCCTGACCTGGAATACAGAGAAGCAGCACTGGACTGTTGTTCAGTGGTCCAAAATATTAATAATTTTTTCAGATGAAAGCAGATGTTGCATGTCATTCGGAAATCAAGGTGCCAGAGTCTGGAGGAAGACTGGGCAGAGGGAAATGCCAAAATGCCTGAAGTCCAGTGTCAAGTACCCACAGTCAGTGATGGTCTAGGGTGCCATGTCAGCTGCTGGTGTTGGTCCACTGTGTTTTATCAAGATCAGGGTCAATGCAGCTAGCTATAAGGAGATTTTGGAGCACTTCATGCTTCCATCTGCTGAAAAGCTTTATGGAGATGAAGATTTCATTTTTCAGCACGACCTGGCACCTGCTCTCACTGCCAAAACCACTGGTAAATGGTTTACTGACCATGGTATTACTGTGCTCAACTGGCCTGCCAACTCTCCTGACCTGAACCCCGTAGAGAATCTGTGGGATATTGTGAAGAGAAAGTTGAGAGACGCAAGACCCAACACTCTGGATGAGCTTAAGGCCACTATCGAAGCATCCTGGGCCTCCATAACACCTCAGCAGGGCCACAGGCTGATTGCCTCCGCATTGAAGCAGTCATTTCTGCAAAAGGATTCCCAACCAAGTATTGAGTGCATAACTGAACATAATTATATGAAGGTTGACTTATTTTGTATTAAAAACACTTTTCTTTTATTGGTCGGATGAAATATGCAAATTTTTTTAGATAGGAATTTTGGGTTTTCATGAGCTGTATGCCAAAATCAATATTAGAAACGATAAAAGGCTTGAACTACTTCAGTTGTGTGTAATGAATCTAATATATATGAAAGTCTAATGTTTATCAGTATATTACAGACAATAATGAACTTTATCACAATACGCTAATTTTTTGAGAAGGACCTGTATATATTTATATCAAAAATAATGAATCAACATGTTTTGTGATACGTTTAAGAAATTTTTTAGTTTGTAGTTTCTGCTTCCCTCTCAATCTAGCACTTACTAATTTTGGTGCACTATTATAGTCTGAGAAATAATCACCGTTTCACCATTACAGCGATTATTTTACATTAATTGATTTCCCACCTAACATTTATAAATCACACACACATTCTATAAAGTATTGATAAAGTTTATGATTTCATTATATTAAGGTTTTAAACTCTAGAAGATATTTATTGTAGCTTTTAAGAGATTCAGTTTAGAAAAATTCATTTATATAATCAAAGTAATCTCTGTAATTTTGAAATGACCCTAAATTGTTTCTTCCGGCTCTTGGAGAGTAAAGACACATTTTTTTCTCCTCTCCCTCCCTCCTTACCCCAAGGCTCTTTGTCCTGTCTTTGTGTGCACGGCGCTTTCTGCATTTTTTCTGGAAACTGGAAATTATTAAAAATGGATCTGGCCAGTTGGCCTCTCAACGCGATTGACAAAATTTTTTCAACGATGAGAACGGGAGAAGGGGCTCCAGGATGCCCCTCTGGAACAGGGCCAGCTGGGTATATTATGGACTCCTGGAAACAGTGGAACCTGATATGCCTCTCTCAACTGTCTGTAGAGGATTCTGAAGATGTTTGGATATTCGTCGTTTTGGTGTTGGGATTCCTGCTGTTTGGCCTGAGCAGTTACCTGGCTTGCCAGAAAATTAATGAACTTTCGAGGAATATTGGCTCAATCCCGGAGCTCAGGGATGGAATGCATCGTGCTGTGAACGCACAAACTCATAATTGTCGAGATGAGTCGTAAGCTTGGAACTTTGGCTGAGATTCAGGCTCTGGCACAGAAGGTGGATTCCATCAAGGAGCGAGTTGACGGATCAGCACGGATCGGGATAGATTAATTATGCCATTATTGGATCTAGAGGGGTTGAAGACCAACAGAACACTAAGGCAGAGAGGAAATTATCTCTGTCTGTCCTCAAAACAATTCTTATCTGAATCTGGTGCCCTTAGAGCCTGTGAGGCTGAAGTGAATACTCCCCCCTCAGAAGAAATGTGTAATGCTGCCGTCGCTATGGATACTCTTTCTCTCTATCCCAGCCTGGGCGGGACTGTGACCGGTGAAGGCCGTGGAACCGTATCTAGCA